CCCCCAGGCACACACAAACACCTCCATTTTCTTTGTGCCTAAAGCTTTCCTAGACTTTCAAAACAAAGTCCCAACTTTTTCGTATTCTTCATTGGTTTCTTTTTAAGTTGTTTTGAGATTAAAGCATGTTATTCTTTTAATTCTATGGGAGAAATATTTTCTTTATTTTTTAAGATTTTTTATTCATTTGAGAGAGAGAGCAGAAGCAAGAGTACAAGCAGAGGATAGGGTCAGAGGGAGAAGGAAAAACAGGACACAGGGCTTATCTCAGGACCCTGGGGTCATGACCTGAGCCAAAGGCAGACACTTAACCGACTGAGTCACCTAGGCCTCCCAAGAAATGTTTTCTTTAAATTATATTGCCATACTTAGAAATGATAGAAGTCCAATGGAGGTAGATACTTTACATATGTTCAGTCACTCATGCTAGGAGTAATTTTCATACAAATTGTATCACAGTATAGAAATAACTGTAAGAATTATTTCTTCATTATATTTTTGTTTAAAAATTTTTTGAATGATATACTTTTGCACTAAACACAAAGGATTTCAGGTTAAATAATGTCAGGATTTTAAGTTTAATAATTTATAAAGATTAGTCAATGTTTATTATTCCCAAATAATTGTCTTTTAAGTGTTTCTAAAGCAAATTGAGCATGTGGTTTCGAAGTAACTGAGGTCAGAGAAAATCTATATAGTTAATAAAACTTTTATTAATATTAAACTAAGTTTAGAAAGTATTCAAGTGATTCTAAAATACATTGTAACTTCATGTACACTAAATATAGTTTTGGCCAATTGAAATTCATCAAATAATTGTAATGATGCCAATATTAATTAAACTTCAACTCTTTGTCCCTGTATACTCTTTGTTGTACTTTATATTGAAACTCATAAAAATCTTAGCCTTGTTTGAAAATGTAATTGCCGTAATTGTCTGTTAATACCTAGAATGTTATGGACACCCCTAAAAATGACTAATTTCTGTATGTAAGAAAAAGAAAAGCAGTCCTTGACCTCTGGAAACTAGCCTGACCCTTATAAGGAAGCTCGTATTGTCAGGAGCTAGCCTGGAACTCACAGCTAGGCCTTGATGTTCTCCTGTTAGTCATAAACAACCTCCCAGAACACCAGGATCAGACAAGGTCTCGTGATGATGATGTGAGGCAAAAAAACAACTCTACAATTTAGTGGAAGCATAGACAAAAGCAAGGTCACTCTGCAGACCACCTGAATACTGAACATCCCCCCATGTCCTGTTTAATATGAGGGACGACTGCTTCTCTGCTAACTAGGGCGTTAGCCTAGATTGGGTCCTCCCTCCCTCTAAATGAGATTGATTAAGATCCATAGTCGCAGAATTATCCCTGCTTCCTGACAGAGCCCAATCCAGAGCAAAGCCATGCTCCTTGAACCCTTCCCAGAATCACTTCACCAAAGCCTCGATCCTACAAAAGTCCTTTTTGACACCCTTACTAAGTTGCCCGTGTCTCCCTCACTGCGATGAGCAGTAAACCCAACCTCTTCAACTAGAGATGTGCTCCTGGTGATCTTTGACAGGAGAGTATTGACACATCCATAGCCCCCAAAACTGTGAATATTGAACTAGTGGTTAAGTAAAAATCATATAAAAGAACCCTGTAAACTATAAAGCTCTATTAAAAAGTTGATGTATTAGTGAGATCTCCAGACTTGGAATTTTGTTTTCAGTAGAATCCTCCAAACCCACAAGTATTTTTTAACATTCTACCTTTAAAATATATTTGATGAATAGTTCCCTTTTCAAATATAAAACATATGTACTTTCGACTCTAGGTTTACCATCTCAGCTGATTAAAGGTGCTGTGACTCTAAAGAGAAGTTCATTCATTCGAAGATTCTTTTCCTTATGCTTGGGTGATCTTTGTTCTAGTTCAGATTTTAAATTAGCATTTAAATTAATGTCAAGTAATATCCCTATCCTTTCAAAAATAGTAATGGGTCAATATTTCTTAAACATTATGTTGCCAGTGCTAGAAGTAAATAACACTTATTGTTCCTTTAGTTACCACTTTGCATGGTGGAATTTTAAACGACTGTATTGTATGCCTCAATACAGGGGAGGAGGTTTGGTCCCATCCATTTGTTTAACTGCCCTTTAATAGCCATCGCTTTACTTCAGTGTGTGCTTGAAAACATTATTATAACATATCCTTTTATTGCTCTAGTAGTGATTGGAATGGATATATCTACATTCAGTCCTGCACTCACTACACCAAGCAAAGTTAGGAGGTTAAATTTGTACCCAGTTATCTTCTAGAACAGAATCTGCTACATTGCCATCTCTCTGGCATCCAGAGACGCTGCCCTTTTTAAACTATTTTTATTTGGACAGGGATCCCAGGCTTTCCATGGAAGATCTGCTGGTTTGTGATGGTGCCTTATGTAAACATTTTAATATCAGATCCCTAAAATCCAGAGACTCCCCCAAAAGGGATTAAAACATAATCCCCTCTCTATTGCTGTAGTGGATTTAACTCTGTATTCTCTCTGCGGCGGTTTGCTCCCTGAAGGCTACAACAAAAAGACTCAGTGCTCGTTAAACATGCTATGGAATTGGAAGTTGTAACTGGAGATTTCCAAAGGACAGGGGTAAAAATGACACACTATGAAGGATGAATATTTCATGACGCTTCTTTCTTAAAGAAGGACCAGTTCAAAGTCCTTTTATAAACCCCCAGAAAATCTCAATTCAATAGAATGAGATTGGAGTAAAAGCAATCAGAAGCGCAGTCTCCTTTCAGAAAGGCAGAGAATTAAGTAGAGAGAATGTGTTCCCCGTTAAAAGTTCACGGAAATGTGTCCTTAAAAAGTCGTAATATATTTCAGTAAATCAGTGTGTATGGTTTTGATAATGTGTTTAGTGATTCTTTTTCATGTCACCCCAACTTAATTGGATATGTTAAATTACTTTTTAAGAGAAAGGAATAGTTCGCCATTTTAAATGTTTGTGACCATTCTACGTCTCCAAATGCCAGAAACCTCTACTAAACCAGAAATCACTAGCGGCCTGTGTATAGAATGACGACTTTCCTGAGGTTCTAGCAAGGCCCAACGACGTATAAGAAGACACTGTTTTCGATGTCACGGCACCTTCTTTCTCACCTCGCCCCAATCAAGAGTAAGCCTTCTGGATTTCTCCAAAAGGGAAATGTGAAAAGTGGCATCCAAAGGAGCGTCCTGGTGGCTGAAGGGTTAAGGGAGCGGTTCGAACCGGCCCGAGCGTTGGGGGATTCCGAGGAGGGCGCGGGAGGCAGGAGGCGCCGCGGAGCGCGCGCACAGACCCTCCAATAAACACAAAGGAGGGCCTGGGGAATAGAAACCCAAATCCACTTGTAATCGTACAAGAGATTCGGGCATAATTACTTGAGCAACCTAGATTAAGATTGATGAGCCTTTAAAGTGGCGCTTCAGATCGACCGCCTCGCCCTTTGGAAAGAAAAACCTTGTGTAGCCGAGATGGACCCCGACTCCGTTCGGCTCCGCGGCGGAAACCCAGGCCGGGAGTCTGCGCGCCCCGGTGCCGGCCCCCCAGTGCGGGCTCCTGGGGGACAGAGAGCAGTAAACTAAAAGAAAAGGCTTGGCGTTGGTCTGAGCCAGGCGGTCGCGATCGGGGGTGAAGGCTGACACTGACACAGTTTGCTTCTTATCCACCCCGTTCAGCGCGACAGAAGCTGGCCGATTCCTCTGTGTGCCTCCCGCAGCAGAAACGGCCCGGCTTTGTGCAGGACGGTCGCGGATTTGGTGTGGGCTACTCCCTGAAAACGTGAACTTCTCTGCAGTCCCCGCGCCTGGCCGGGTCGGGCCTGCTAACAGTGGCCTTGGCGGTGGCGGTACCAGCCGGTCTCACCGCGAGGAGCTGCCGCCGAGGGGCCGAGCCTGAGCGGCGGCAAGGGACCTGATTTTTTATTGCCTTTATCCTACTGTTACTGTGACTCATTTGACTATATGCATTTCAGGGCGGGGGTGGGGGGCGATGAAAGGGAACATAATGCGCCCTTGCTACAGAAGAAAAATTGGGGGGGGGGGAAGAAAGGAAAGAAGGAAGAAAGAAGAAAAAAGAGAAAAAAATAAGTTCTGATTTCCTTGTCTGTATTTTAAGTACAGGATAGCAAAGAATGCCTCCCCTTTCGGGGAATCTTAAAGGGGCGTTTAAGTCATCCCCTTTGAATTTATATTCTAATATGTAATTTTCAACATTAACTCAGATTGAGGGAATTCCAAGTAAGCACCTCAGTAGGCACATTTTCTAAAAATCTCTTTTACTGAAGATTAGTTTCTCTAGTTTCTAGTTGAGAGATAGTACTTTTCGGACACTTTTCTGAGAATCTTCTTGTTCAAGCGTCTTACAATTTCATCACTTTTGACTGATTGTCGGTGAGAAGATCACTGTTAGGATTTTTGTTCTTTTCTACAGAAGAAATGAACTTAATATCCTTGTGTGCGGGTATGTGGATGTGGCGCGCCTTAGGACGCCGATATTAATCTTCCTACGAGATGCAAACCCGTTAGTACAGTGGAATTTATATATTTAGATCCTATACCCCTTCACATCCTCCCGCTCATCCTTGGGGAACGCTGCTGCCGAGTGGAACGGCTTTACACGATGGCTGGTCTTCGGGGGCAGTGCTGACTGCCTAAGGTCTCTCGGAAAGCCGGCGGTGCTCCGTGGAGAATCAGGGCATTTGTAGGATTTCTAGGCGAAGGTTACTAACTCGCTTGCTAAGGGTCACTTGTTCGGCATCCTGACCTCTTGGGGTTTTATGGAATTATTTATCTCTATATAAGATAATGTGTGAAAGCTAAGCAGAACTTATCTCACATGAAAGATGCTGGCCGCGTTACCCAGGCACCATTTTCTTAGCGCATCTTTAAAAATATAAAGACCTGCAGCACCCTTTGGGAGGGAGCAGGAGAGGGCCACAGGGACTGAGCCTGACTCCGGTGCCCTTGTCTTTCAGGCCCAGTGGTTCTCAGTACCCCAGCCCAGCTCATCGCTCCTGTGGTAGTGGCGAAGGGGACTCTTTCCATCACCACGACAGAAATCTACTTCGAGGTAGATGAGGACGATCCTGCCTTCAAGAAGATCGACACGAAAGTGAGTTAGAGTGATTCGTGTACAGTACTAGTGGCTTTGTGGCAGGAAGTGGTTTTCAGTTTTGCTTGGTTTTAAATGACAGTGGGGGAGGGGAACACATTTCCATTTTTGTCATAGGAAATAAAATGAATGAAATAACACATGCTCTATTTTATGGGATTGAAGAATATATTAATGGTTTCAAATCCTGTGTTACCAGAGCATGCACATTACAGTCTCTCCATGAGTGCCTTTGTGTGCACTTGGGTAAATTTGGTAGGTAAGCCAATTGTTCCAAAGTCTGGGGGTACAGTATCCCAGGCTCTCTGGGAAGACCAGGAGGGGTCTTCTGAAATATCTTAAGATGACTTTTAATTTCCAAAAGTGTAAATTGCAATGTGAGTTATTATTCACTGAAAGGTTGTAAGGAAACTGGGGGGGGGGAGGGGAGAGCATTTAGATAGAAATTCATCTCCATTATTACATCCATTTTTCATCTCCTGAGATAAGAATGAGTTTTACATGTGAATTTAAGAGTAAGAGAAACTGATTCTCTGAGAAGCATTGATTTAAAACGTATATAGGTAGTATATACTAGCAATCAGATGTTTATAAAGTTTGTGTTCTTCTGTGGGTGTAATGCCAGAAAAATACCTATTTGGACAATTTGAAATACATAAATATTTATTTGTTTATTATATCTTACCGTGTAGATTTTAAAACCTGATATTAGGACAGCTCTACACCTCTGCACTTTCTATTGAAACCAATTTGTTTGTTGTTTTAACTTTTATGTTACTGTGCGGTTTGTAAACTTTTTTTCTGAGGTTAAGAATTCAAGGGTCATGTTAGATATTCAAGCATCAGTTTGCAAAGATTTTCCTTTGCAGTATTTATCAGAAGCAGTTATTCTAAAATCGTCAAAGACAAATGTGCCTACAGAGCCAGAACTTTATTATTGATGTCATTTTTACATAAACTATTATAAAACACTATTTGTAGAAGAGGAACTGAAATTCCAAAATCCATCCCTGCCTGAATTAACTACCTACCTTAAGGCCTGCAGGTGATTAGCGCTCTCAGCACTTGTTGACAATTAAAATACTTGGAAGGACAGTCAAAGGACTTCTTGCACTACCAGCTCTCAAAGGATGGAACGTTGAAAATGAGTCTGAATGTAGTGTATTTGATTTTTAAATAATTGAAAGTTTGTCTTTACGCTTTTATCATTAGCTTGCTCTGTGAAGTCAAAAGAAATTTTAGATTTCTGATGAACTTATACAGCTAATGGAACACTTTTTCTGCATAACATAGGATTTGACATAAAATGGTCAGAAATAATCTTTATTTGATTAGCATAGTTATACAAATTTTGAAACTTTCATTATGACTTTAAGTTCACTTTTTCTGAGTTAGTCTAATTTTTAACTCAGCAGTCTGTACCGTCATGACATATTTTTTCTTGATAGTATTAAAAATGCTACAGAAGTACTGATCCAGAAGAGCAGGCTTTCCAGGGTAGATTTAAATGTGTCTGTTGTAGAAAAAAATAGTCTTATAAGTAAATCATTATCTTCTGTAGCTGTACAGAGTTTTCTTCAGGATATTAAGGTTTAATTTTAATTATTTCATTAGCATACTCCTCAAAGTGTTTAAAATACTCGAGTGGGTTCAATTTTCAAAATGGAGCATTACATCTTTTGATAGAAAAACAATTTAAAGTGAGACACAACAACTTTTATTTTACTTCATTTATTAGCTTCTAATTAAATAAAAACCAGCAACAGAAATTAAAATCTAAATCACAAAAGTAGTTATCCAGTGTATTTCAAGTGCATTTTTCAAATATATAATTCAGATATTCAAGCGTTATTATATAAGCTGAATTCAAATTTCTTTGAATATATTTAAATAACATTTCAAGTATATTTATGGAATGTTAGAAATAGAACAAGCATTATATTTGAAACAAAATGTAAACTTTTTAAAGTTCAGACACTTTCAAAGACAGATAAAAGTACCAGGAGGAAATCTACCTTTAAATGGTATCTTTGTTAGTGGAAAATGTCTGGAAGTCTCCAAAACGGCAATGTAACTTCTGTTCACCAAATCACAAAACACCAACATCCACACTTTCAAAGACAACGTGAGATCACAATATTTGTTACAAATCAAAATATACATTACACTTTCCTTCAGATGGCATATCCAAATCGTGTTTACTCACAGACAGATGCACCTAAATCACCAGGATTGCTATAATCCTTTGATAGTTAGGCAGAGTGTTCACTGTGGTCTTGCATTACAGCCGGTTGTGTTCCGAGTGTTATTGTGTACTTTTCAAGGGAGTTAGGAAATCCTTTGTAAAGAAGTCTTCTAATACTTGTGGGTTTGGGTTTTTCTCCATCCGCTTTCCCTACTTCTTTTTCTCCCCTTGGAGGGGTGGGTGAGATGATGCCTAAACATCGTATTGTTACTCCTTTTTAAGGAAGAGACTGTTTGCACTGACAAATGGAATATTAGGAATCCAACGGGAAGTTTGCACTGAATCAGGTCTTTGAGAAGAGTAATCACATTTCGGCTCTTGTTGAAATTGTCCTCTAAAGTTTTTCCAAACTTTTGGGGTTGGTCAGGATCTCTCTTGCCAGCCGCCACGTTTGTTTGGCAGCGTTCTCCAGAGCCGAGTGAGGTTTGCCTTGAAACAGATCTAAGTTCGGTAGGAAGTAGTGAGGACACCGCCGGCACTGCAGGCAGGAGATAAGTTGCAGCAAAATCCCGTTAAGCCGATCACCCAGGCAAGACTCGTCCCAGTCTGACTCCCGGGGATGCTTTTCACACTCGTAGGAAACCAAAGTCTTCATGTGGTAATTGTTCAGGGGCTGGCCTGGCAGTTCAAGGTGACGATCCCGTAAGGTTTTGAGGATGGAGAGGCATTTCTTTCTGCAGCCCCCCATCTGCAGTCTGTTCTCTGCTTCGGCGAACTGCAGCACCCAGGCGTCGCTCTCGGCCGAGCTCTGTTTGCCGGCCAGGGAGTGGCACTCCTTGGACAAGAGATTGAACCCTTCCGCTTTGACCTCCGCCACCCGGTTGGGTCCTGGCCAGGGGATGTGCGGAAGTGGCCAGTGGGCAGCACTCCTCGGCCAGATCCCGGTACATTTAAAAGCCGGGGTGATCTGCACCACGTACCTATCTCGGATTCTCAGTTTCACTTCGCTGGTGTCTGCCACCATCTTTACCACATCCCTGTAGCTACATTTGTCTACGGCTTGAGCCACCAGCGTCTGAAACCTGGACCGGATTTTGCGCGCCGAGAGGTAGCCGGAGGCCGTAATGAATTCCACCCAGAGGGACATGCTCCTCTTGCGCCCGTCGCTCAACTTCAGCACCGCGCAGCCGGGCAGCGAGCCGTCGTCCACAAAGTTGAACACCCCCATTTGGTTAAGGTAAAGCACCACTTCAAATTCGGTGGGGGAGATGACCTCGAGGCCCTCGTAGCGATTGTCCATCTCGTTGAGAGAGCTGATGAACCGGGGCTCCTGCACTTCCACTTCTTTAAGTACGTCGGAAACTACTTTGCAGACTTCCCGGATAGTTTTTGCAATGGCAGCTTTCCTGGCTTGGCATTTCTCATTGTAGTACTTATTCAGATGGTATACCAGCTTGGCCTGGGCCGCGATCATGTTGGGGCAGAGATCCGGATTGTACACCGGAGTCTCGCAGTAGGCTGTGGGATCCAATGCGGCTGCTAGAGCTGGAGCCAACTTCGGTGGAGAAACGGGCCGCCGCGCTCAGAAATGTATCAGAACGCTCTCCGATGTGTTGCCCCGGTGGAGTCCTAGCCGCTGCTTTCCCCTTCCTTTTATCTTTGAGCCCAGACGGTCTTAAAGTGAAAGATTGTTCTCCCCCCTCTCTCGGTCTTTCTTCCTCTTTTAAAGAATCCTTGTGTGAGAGAAATGCATGGAGAGATCACCTTCTCGGTAATGAAAACAAAAGTTGCGCTGAGACCCAGCAAAGCTCTTCCAGTAGTCAAAATAATCAACCCTTTCCGTATTTATTTACGCTTTCCCGTAATCATTGTGTGTGCCGGACTGTTAATCAGATGGAGGAAAAGTGTGCTGAGTGTGTCGGGGGTGAGTGTGCGTGTGTATATGTCAGAAGAAGCTGCTGTTGGTTTGTCTAAGAGCCCAGATGCACTCGTGTGGAAATTATAAAGGCAGGGCCAGGCAGGCTGGCGGCCAATCGCCACTGGGCTCGTCACGACAGCCTCCTTCAGCTCCAGCCCGGCTAATTAATCCCCCCTCGTGGATATAGGCACACAAACTAAAGGTAGGAGGCTGCTGCCGGCAGAAAACCACCCAGGCCACCTAGACAGTTTTGGAAATCAAGAGGAATCTCTCAGCTTTGGTATTAATTGAAGCATATTGACGTTTTAAAAAGACTTGGCAAAGTGGTTCTCTTCTGTGTTGAAAACCCTGCTTGTCTTTTTACCGCGGAAATGCAAATACAGGTGTATTAATGGTCATCCATCAATTAGTGAACTAGATGGGGTCTTCTAAAACAAAAGTCAGTAACTTGCATTTAGAGTGAGATAATTAATGTCTGTTAATCCTTGAGGTCTTTTTAAATGCAGGTTGAGAGTTTGCTCTTTCATGTATATGCAAGTTGGCTTTAGATGGACTACTGATGCCTGTGTAATTTGGGGGATGTTCCGGTATGTTAGAATGGGTTTTTGGTTGGAGTTTTTTGTTTTTGTTTTGTTTTACGTTATGCAGTGTTTTATCTCTGTTTTTTTCCCCTCATTTGCAGTTGTTGAAAGGAATCTGAAAATTATTGCTTTGTTAGATGCTGTCTACCCCAGTTTAAGTTAGGATGTTTAAGAAATGTTTAGTATTACTCCTCCCTCCCCAACTGCAGCCCTCTTTGTACTTTGGTAGACTTGCCCAACATAATCAGGACTGTAAGTTTTGTACACACTGGTAGAAATATTTTAAAAATAACTTATCTCTGTGATTGAGAGATTATTGTAATGTGAGTTCATAGTGAGCTGTATTTTAATATGTGAAATTAAGGCAAGATCATAGAGATGAGACCTACTGGCAGATAACTGTTCTGAAAATATTCAGGTTTAGGGTTTCTGGCTTGCTTACTGATGTATATAATTATACCTCCTCTCTTAAGTGTCCTTAGTGGTGACCTGACGGTAGACTTCTAATTGTTGTATGATTTCATGTGATTTGGTTGAGGGAAAATCGGGTAAGATTTTAAAAGAAAACTAATTTGCAGTCATCCAGCGTTTTTAAATTTAAATATCATTTTGGAAAACTTTGAAAGAAATCAACATTTCTGCATTTTGGAACCTTGAAACAGGAGGGGGAAATGGATTTATGTAGAACATGTTTTTGGTTTGGGTTTTTTTTTTTTTCCCTGGTGATACCAATTGTGTCCTTAATGTACAGGAAAGGAAATAAATACCACTTAGGGATTATGTAGTGTAGTGGTTTAAAAACCTAGGCAGATTTTTAATGCCTACCTTTAATTTAGATGCCATCTCTTTAAAATTAACAATATTTCCAGCAAAATCCTATAACTCCCGGTAACAGGTCTGTTGGCACTTTCTTTCAGAGCCGCTTTCAACAAGATCTCATTCGGGGCTCCCACTTTTTACTCCAGCTTTTGCTTGCTTATTTATTTATTTATCTATTTATTTATTTATTTTTGCACAGGTACAAGCATCACAAAGCCATCTATTATTTACTTTTTCCTTATCCAAGAGTGATAGATTCCGATTTAGCTTAAGACAGTACAGTAGATTTGGGGCTCATGGCATCCATCTACTCTATTCCCCAGGAACCTTCCATTCCCTTAGGAGCAGGGATTGGGAACAGCCCCTCCCCACTTTGCAGGCTTTGCGGGTGAATGCACTGCTACCTTTTGGCAGTTGGAAGAAGAGGAGGCAAATCAGAACCAGAGAACCCTCGGCCAAGAAGGGGAAGATGTGCCTTGGTTTCTGGGGGGGAAAGCCACGTCTGGCCCTCACCCAGCGCAGGTCCCCTCTCTCCCGCTGCCCCGCACTCCCGAGCCATCCTTCTTTCCTCTCTCTGTCCCATGGGGTTTTTCCCCCCCTGTGTGCCCGTTATTTTAAACCTTACTTGGTGTCCTCGGGTTCTCCACGTCTGCTCCAGGCCAGGGCCCCTGCCCGCGCACCCCTTAGCCCCGACGGCCACCCGGGCCCACGTGAGGTCGCAGCCGAGCCTCGCGCTTTCTCGTCATGGGCCGCGGGCCCCTGTGCCAGCGCGCTCTCCCCGGGGTTCAAGCAGAGTTGCTCGGCCAGGACCTCGTCCCTCGATTTCTTGGGCCACCGGTTGCCGAGGACGTGCAGCCTGGGACGCGGAGGCCCCGGAGCCGTTCGGGGGGCACCGTGGGGCGGTGGTCCGGATGAGTCTAACGCGAGGGGCGCCGGGCCGGCCTCGCTGGAGCCAGGCGCGCAGGTGGCGCATCTTCGGGGCTCACTGTGCGGCTTAATTGGGTTAAAGCGAAGCTAAACACTGAAGCACTTTGTGCAAACTAATTGGTGTAACCGGGGCCTTTTCACTAACGTTTGCACTTTGAAGAAGAAGAAAAATGGATGGTGAGAAAAGGACCAAGAAACTCGTTAGTCCTAGAATGTTGCAGGGAAGTGAAGCCATTCTGTTTCAAGGACGCCGGGACTGTGTTTTCGGAGCTGCTTCCTCCAGCACCCTTCACACTGGGAGCTGACAGTGATTTACATAACGCAGGACTCACCCACCCGCTGTTATCACTGTAGGTGAACTGGACACCCTAGAATAATACTCTAGTGCAAGTACTGCTTGTTGCTGCAACACAGTGATTTTCTATTACACTGAACACGTGAAATGAATTGCCTTCTGCAGCTGAATCCTTTCAGTGATCTTAGACACCTCATTGTTGAAGGGAAAATTAAACTATGCGAGGAGTATGTTTTTCTATCCCTTAATTTTTTTTTATTGAAATAACCTATGGAGAGGAATTTAAAATATATAGTATATTTTTATGTAATTCGGCCACTTTTAATCTAGGCTTTGGAGATAGTTTTGTGGGAGTAACTTATTTTATAGTAATTTTTTGAAACACCCTTTGACCTATTGAACTGGTTATTTCAAATGATGATGTACTAACCTGGAGATAGCTTAAAATCAATTTATTTACTTATGTGAGAAGTTATAAAACAACTCTAATGATCCCAGTCTTACCTATATTATTTTTTTACTATAAATATAATCCTTGTTGTATAATCCTACTAGAATAAAAGCTTGTGTATGTCCCATGCTTTAGGATATAAATGCTTAATTGTTTTCAGTGGTATGCTGTGCAGGCATCTTTGACATGAGCTAATAATAGAATGATAATTGAAGAAAACTGACCTAATTGAAGAAAAAAAAAGCCAAAAATCTGATGATTTAATGATAGTTTGAGATGCTTACATTTGAATGATATTTGGGATTTTAAGGTCTAACTGACTTGACTTTTTCATTTCATTTACTTAGGTTACTAGGCAGCCTTGATTTAAAATGCACCATTTACAAAAAGAATCCCAAAAAGTCACAAACACACCATTATCGCAAATGTTAGTAGTATTAATGAATATAAAACAATTAAATAGTGTGATCCTTAACATTTCAAGACATTCAAAATAATAATGGCAAAATATGTTTTTCCCAAAGTATTGTTGTCTAAGTAACTTATCCCCCTTCTGTAAACCTACTTACTTTATATGGGATACATAAAGTAATGCATAAATAGTCACCTTATTAGGTTTAAAGAAAAACTATTATGTTGAGAAATGTAGGAATGCAAGGTTTCTGTGTTTTTTTAAAAAAACTAATTTAAATTTGAATTACATGTTCATAAATTTAAGTCATTGTGACCTTTCATCTGGAAAAATGTGTCCGTTAGGGAATATGCATATACATGTTAAATGCTCACATAGATACTGTTTTGTGTTTTTTCATATTTCCTGGCTGGCTGCTATTCTATTCACAAGTATTCATGAACTTAAAGTTTTATTTTTTTAATATGTGCTTATTACACTGGGGAGATAAAAAGAATATGAAGTTGAGTATATTAAATTATTTATCCCTACTGCTGGAGTGGCTTTGAAGGCTCATTGTACGCATCTACCTCCCCCCACTTCGTTTTTTAAATGCACCCAGGCTATTTCATCTGCTTCATTCTGCCAGACACAATATATTTCTTTTTTTACACTAGAGAAATTAAAGACAGATATTTGTGCAGGGTTTTCTTTATGTGTCACATTAAATAAAGTAAAATAGAGGGAGTTTCTCTGGTAATCTAATTTGATGGCATCTCTACCTTTCTTCCTGTTGTGACTCCTTGTATAAGAACACTTGAAACAAAATAGCTTGAGAGCTTCAAAAGTTTCAATGATTTCTTAAAACAATTATTTCATATTTTAATATCAGGTTTATGACAAAGTAAAGCAGAGAATTGAGGTCACTGTTGACACAATTTAGACCCTGTTCTGTTGTTTCAACCAGAGCATCCTGATAATTGAAGTTCTTCAAAAAATTATTTCCTTAATTCTCCACTTCAATGATCAGGGCTGTGGCCTTAGTTTTGCTCATCCCCCTGGTACCCATCCTATAGTCAACATTTGTTGTGGGGACCACTTTTTTCCCTACAGTGTTGCTTAGTAAATTCGTTATTGGTGCTAATAAATGTTGGACAGAAAGTAACTTTGAGATTAAAGATGGGCAATAAAAGTGTAACTTACCAGAATTATGACCACTGCTGGATATGCGCATTTGTAGCGATTCTGGGTAATTCTGACCAAGACCTTTCTTTTGGTGGAAGAAGAAATTGAAAGACGATTTAGGTAATCCTCTCACTTTCCCCACTTCATTTGAATATTTACATAGAGGTGTAGGATATTTTAAGTTGCATGCATAAACGGAAAAATTGGGGGAGGGAAGGTTATTAACCAAAAGATTTTCTTAATGCTCAAACTAGATTGTGATCTCTAACTCTTTCCAAAAATTTAAAGATATTGGGGTTAGTCATTTATTTATTGAGTATTACGGAGGAAGTGTTGATTCCAATATTCCAGGTCCTCATAGATCCTTCAGAAAGTCACTGTCGTCTTTATGATGTAGAAAATTCAAATTCGTTTTGTTAGATTTCAGCCTCTATTTTTCATTTGGATATTATAGAAGTATTCTGACGAGATAAATGGGCTCACATGGTTCTTTTCTTTATGAATATATGAAAACTAGGTACTCCTCAACCCACAATTCATGCGGATTTATAGACATTTGTGTATGTGACCACAGCCTTAGTACTCTTAGCGCATTAGAGTTTTATTGCACTTAGAGAAAACAATGGAATCAGATGCGATTAGTGTCTTAATCTGTACATCTGTAGTGGGGGTCATCCAGGACTGCATAGCTCTCATTACTGTCCCATACTGTATGTGATTAAGCCACGGAAAATATTCAACATGACCTTGAGACTAGAGTATGGTATGTAGATAATCAACATTCAGTAACTGCATGTCTAAAATAACCTTTTCTATATCTAATTTACAGTTTTGGAGCTTACTTTTTAATGAACAAAGCAGTTCCTCTAAACTAGGATTTATTTTCTTTTAACAATCAGCAACTGGAGTAATAACTTAAGAGAATAATTACATTAAATAAAAAACTATTACCTCCTATCATATATATTTTATGTAATAAAATAAATGCTTTATAGAAAAAGAAGGAAATTAGTTTATGAATAAGAATTTCCTTTATAGTTTTCATATAGATATAGAGATATAAACATCCGAGAATACACCACATAAATAATGATTTCATTTCCACTTATGTATGATTATTTTCACTATTCTAATAATACACATTTTAGCATACAAATGCGTATTATTTCTAAAAAGCCCAAGTTTCCATGATTTGTCAAAAATATCAAGTCAAAGTACTAATAAGTAGTTAATACTTTTTAATCTACGTGTTTATTCATTTTATCTATACATCCAGATCAAAAGCATGAGAGCACAGAGTTTGTAAGACCATAGTCTTTCTAATAAAAAATTGTGAAACCAATGAAATAGAAAGTATAGCTTTCTTTTATTTTTATGTGAAATCTATTTTTTATTATTTACGTCAGGTTTATTGATGTGTATTTTGTGTACAGTACCATTCTATTCTATGGTTTTTCTATATGAATGTGCCATCCTGTGAATTTTAACAAATATCTACAGTCATAGAACATCTGGCACAGACATAGAACATTTCCATTGCCACAAAAGTTTCCTCATGCCCCTATTTTACTTTTTAATTCATACATTTTATGATTCATTTATAAGCATCTGGGTGTTTTACTTTTGTATCAAAAAACCTTTAGGTTGTAAATCTTTATTCCTCTAGAATTTCTTGTTTTATCTCGCTTCTAATTTAAGGCCAGTTTTAATCCAATAACACTGAAGTAGAAGCAGAGTATGAAATGATATTTCAGATAGGCAAGCAATAGGGTTTATAATTTGTGTTTTACATAAAAGTTGTTTAAACGTAATATATGTCACCTTAATGCTTGGTAAAAGATTTTGTTTTTCAAAGAAACTGCTAGTATTTGTTACACTGGCATGAATGTGTGTATTAGACTTATGAATATAGTTTATATTTGCACATCAAAATATATAGTAAGAAACAGGGATTCCTCATATTAGCAACATTTGAGGCATATTGGTAATGTTACTAGCTTTATGTCACTGGAGAAATGAATCTCCTTTCAGTATTTAAATTACATTGTACTTTACATTTTCAGTAAATTACTCCTCCCTTAGAGTGGTGGGGGACAAGACCAAGGAGTTTATTAGAGCTAATATTAATTAACATATATACATTCTTGGAACATATGCTTCTAATCCTAATTTTACATAAATATACATTGTCATTTAAATTTCAATGGTTATAAATACTCCAA